ATCCGCGCTCAAACCATCGTGAATGCGAATGGCAACATGTATGAACGCGGGCCGCGCTGGCACTCCGTGGCGCCCGCGAGCGGGCCGACCCCTGCCAGCGACGCCGCGTTTGGCACCGGGGTCCAGTTCTGCTGGCCGCGAATGGGCCCGCGTGCCTTGTTGTGCGTCTGGCGCTCCAAGTTGCGGTGGAAGCGGTCGTTCGCGCGTTCTCCCGGGGCCCCGCCCTGCAAGCGGGCGCCCTCCGTGGCTTGCAACTTGGCGCGGGCTCGCTGCGCGCCTCTGCCTTGCGCTCGCGGGGTGGCGCCCTGCGCGCAAGGCGCGCCGCGCCTGTCGCGATCGAGTCTAGTGCCGGATCGGCGCTGGCGAGGCCCTCGCATTCTCGAAATCGCGATTGATCGAGTCGGTCGTTTCCTGGGGGCGCTGCTAGGTCACGATCGCGAGCGGGCGCTGGGGCGCTGGTTCGCGCGCGGCTGCGCCCGCGATCGACTTGCGGCCGCTGGGGGCACTCTGCGCGCAGTGCTGGTGTTGCTTCGTTTTGTCCGCGCCCCCCGGTCGGCCGCTTCGGTGTTTCTCGGGGGGCGCGGTGGAACTCGTGGAAATCGTCGCAACTCTGACTGGCGCGCGGGTCGATCTGCCAATCCCTGCCAAGTTGCGTCCAGAATCCGCCCGCATCCTCCAAGTCCGCCCCCGTAGCCTCCGCGGAAGTCGCGGCGCTAGCGCGGGGGCCGATGCGCATGCGAGTTCCGCGCGCAGGAAACAGAAAATCCCCCGTCGGCGCCGTCTCCCACGACCGGGCGCCCGCTCGCTTCGGCCGCGCGTCGTTGAACACCGCCGCGAGCGACTCGAAGTCAGCGCGCGTGGCTGCCCAATTCGCGTCGTCGTGCGCGGTGCTGCCCCTGACCTCCTCGTGAAAGCGCGTCATCTGCTCGCCGATCCAGTCCAACTCGGCGGCGTGGATTTTCGGGGAAGTATGCCTCTCCGAGCTTCCAGCCTCGCCCAGGCGGCGCGCTGTGGAGGTTCTCTTGCGTGCCGTGGTGGGCCTCTTCCCGAAGACCCGCTGCGCGCGCGGGCACTTGTCGCGATCGCCCCACTGCTGCTCGCCCCGCCCTCCTGGGCGGGGGCCCGCGAGTCTGTCTCCCGGCCCCGCTGGGCGCCGGCCCGCAGGTCTTCGCTCCGCGCGGCGGCCTGCGTTTCGACCGCCCGGTCCACCATTTGATTCTACTGGGAGAGGTGCAGTTCCAGGGTGCCCTCAATCCTGCCGCGGTAGTGTCTGGCGTCTTTCCAGGCTTGCTCCTGCGGGGAGGCCCGCGCGGCCGCGCGGCGCCCCGTCGTCGGGGCCCGCCGTCGTGCCGCGGCTGGGTTGCCCCCTCTCAACGCGTCTACGTCAATGATCGATGTCGTCGCCGCCTCGGGCGTCTGCCTCTCAGCCTGTCTCGTCGCGGCCGCGGCCGAGCCCTGGTGCCGGCGCGCGGGCCTCGTCGTGGCGCGCGCCGCCCAACCGCCCGCCGCCGCGTCGGCGGCGGCTGGCTCGCCGCGCCTGGGCCCTCGGCCTGCGCGCTCGCCGCGCGTGCGGCGCTGGCGTCGCTCTCTGTCACCTTCAGCCGCGGCTCCTTCGCAGACGGATCCAGGCAGAAGGTCGCCGCTCCTGGTTGCGCGCCAGCAGCGGAAACGTACCTTGAACAAACCAACGTGGGTTCGGTATCGGTTCGCGGCGCGAGTGGAAATCGGTGGGCGTCGCGGAAGGCTTGCCGATGAAAGCGCCGCAATAAGTATCCAGATCCGTTGGCCTGATAATCGGGGCCGCTGGCGCGACGCGTGCTGTCGCCGGGCGACCTCCGTGAAGGCGCAATGTGACAGCTCTTCCGAATTGTGATGTTTTTTGGTCCGCGGACCAATGCCTCCGACCAGCTTTGCGCATGTCCCACATCGGCTGGCACTGCGAATGACATCGGATTGCCACTGAAATCGCAAGGCGCAGCCAGGGCGAGGAGGAAGGGGAACGAGCAGCAGGAGAGCAAAGGAGGCAGGGGACACATCAGGGGGGGCAGATCATGCTGCGAGCGCCTCGGGTTGATTTGCGATCTGGAATGCACTTGGAGAAGCGCTGCTGTGTGTTGTGTAGGGGAAAGTGTGCATCATACCCCCATATACTATCTCTTTGACATTCATGTGCGTGGCACAAGTATCCCATGCGTAATTTGCAAAACATCTTGAAGGTTTCCGAATAACCTCCCTGCCCCCGAAGCGCCACCGACAGCCCCGCCCCGCTCCTCGCATTCTTTGGAGAACGTGTGATTTCACATGGATGATGCAACAACGCAGATTTCTAGCCGACTTTCAGTTTCGATGAGGAACTTGATGGCGAAGTATCACGGCTTCCTGATCCCGTATCGTCAATATGCCTCTGGCTGGAAGTGCAACTTGAATTCACGCGAAAGGGCGCGCAAGGATGATCAGACCGCCTCGAATGTCGAACGCAAATACGGAAAATGCTGCAAACGCTAAAGCCCGCGACGAATCTGGCGCCCCTTCTCCTCCTCCGTCTTCTGAATTATCCTCCTCCTCCTCCTCCTCCTCGCTCCTCAACCTCAGCCTCCTTTGGTGTCGTCGTCGTTGTCGTCGTCGTCGTCGTCCCCGTCGTCAGCCTCGCTCTCCCGCTCCTCCTCCTCCTCGTCCTGCCCCCCTCCTCATTCTTACCTCTTCCTCCTCCTCCTCCGCCTCGTCGTGATTATGCCTTCACGCCTCGCCCTTGCCACCCTGCACCTCCTTCTCTCCTGCCTCCTGTTTCCTGCCTCCTACCGTCTGCCTGTTCCTGCCTCCTGTTGCCTGCCTTCTGCCTCTTACCTCCTGCCGCCCACTCCTCCCTCCTCGCACTTTCTTCTCTTATCTTTTTCCTCTTCTCTTTCTTCCTCTTCATCCATCTCTCCTCCTGCTCTCCTCGGGTCCTTCCAGCTGCTGCTGCTGCTCCTCCTTCTCCTCCTACTCATTTCTCTAATTTCGTCCCGCCTCCTCCCCTGTCCTCATTGTCTTTGTCGTCGTTGTACGCTTCCTTCTCCTCCTCCTCTTTCCGTCCTCCTCTTCCCCCCAGTTCTCCTCCAATTGATCCTCCTCCTCCTCCTCCTCCCCTCCTCGTCATCCTCATCCTCGCCCTCCCCGCCCTCGCCCTCTTTTTGTTCATCCTCCCCACCCCTCCCAATTCGTCCTCGTCCTTTTGCCTCCTCTTGCCCCTTTTCGTGGCTATCGTCGTCGTCTCCCTCATCGTCACCCTCCTCATCCTCAGTCTGCTCCTGCGCAACCTCCACTTTTTAATCCTCGTCTCCCTGCTGCTGTTGCTGCCGCTCCTCCCTCGCCACCACTGCCTTTCTCTCACTCCGCGCCGCTTCCTCCTGCTTCTGCTTCTGCTCCTGCTGCTGATCAAACTCCTCTCTTTGCTTCTCTCTCTCTCTCTCTCTCTCCTGCTCCAAGATTCCCGCCTATGCCTTGTCATATGGCCATGGGTTGGGCAGAACAGGTCCTCCTCCTCCTCCTCCTGCACCTGCTGTTGATGTTCCTCCTGATCTTTTCACTCGCCCATCCTCCGCGTCGTCCGTCCTCCGTCCACCGTCGTCCCTCCTCCCCAGGTGTGGGGAACCAGAGGCGGAGTGCGTGAAGCCCGACAAGTCACAACTATACCGACGACGGGGGCAGCACCAGCATCGACCCATGGACGCGAGCCCTCCGTGCCGCACGCGCTGCCCACGCGCGCAGCCGTGTGCAGACGAAGGTTGTCGAACAAGCGCTGCTCAGCAAGACGCTGCAATGAGAGCTCCACGACTGGCAAGGCTGGTGGTCTGGAGGGGGGGGGGGGCGAGGGGGAGGAGTGCGAGGAGGAGGAGGAGGAGGAGGAGGAGGAGGAGGAGGATGAGGTAATTCCCCAGTGACGTGGAGGTCAACCTAGGTGGCATTCCTCGAGCCCGCCGCTCGGACAGCCGTCGCAACGATGGCAGCACCGGCAACTATGTTAAGGCTGTGCACTCCTCGTCGCTCGCGCGCCACTCAGCATATGTACCCCCGGCCCCTCGACACCCGCCCTCTTCGTCCTCGATCGTGCCCGCTCTTGGGGGGCTGTCTTCCTTGCCTGCCACGCGCAGTTGACGCGGCCCCTAGAACTAGATGTGGAGGGAGAGAAGGAGAAGGGAGACATCGAGGAAGGGAGGAGGAAGCGAGATGAGAGAGGGGGCAAGAGGGATGTATGATATCTGAGGACGAAAGAGATGTCGCAGGAGGGGGCAGAAAGAGAAGCGATAGGATTGGCAGGCGGACCCTAACGGGCGGGTCAGGCGGACGGGCCCTTAATGGGCGGGTCGGGCGGGCGGGACCTCAAAGCGAGCGCGCGGGTTTCCAAACCAGCGCAGGGGTGGATCCTATCGGGCGGGTCGGGCGGGCGAACACTAACGGGCGGGTCCGGCGGCGGACCCTGACGGGCGGGTCGGGCAGACGGGCCGTGGGGGGGGGGCACTCGAGCGAACGTCGTAAATTGTGAATATACCTCAGGCGAGGGCACGATTTCCCAAGCTGTGAGGAGGTCTCCTGCGAGAGCGCGATGTCAGACGTCGAGGCCACGGCGTTTGAATAGATTGCGTGGAAATCCCAAGCGAGAGCGCGATGTTGAAGAAACTGCGAGGAAGCATCCAGCGGGAGCCGCTGTTGTTGCAAACTGGGGGCCAACACCACAGTGCCCCAAGACTTTCTCAGATAAGAAATATGGTACGATCCCTGGGAGGGAGGCATTTCAAGTGAAAAACAATGGGCACCAAACGGAGGGGATCAACAATAGCTCTGATTCAAAAACAAATGTTCAAAGCGCAAGCCGGGATTGAACCCCATCCCCCCTGGTTCCTCTCCCGGCTTCTCCCTTCTTGTGGAGGCCAGACCCGTTCGGACCCCCCTTTCCGGACGACGACGACGGCGACAGATGACGGCGACAGACGACGATGACGACGACAGGAAGGCAAACGATGGTCGTCCTCCACGTTCGCGACGTTGTTGCTCAACCTCCCCCCGTTGCCCGTGCGGCAGCGGCAGGAAGGCAGAGGACCAACAGAGGGGTAATCCGAGGAGGGGTGGGGGTGCACCGTCAGAAAACGTCCACATCCACACTTGTTGGGGTCCTGCCCTGGATCCCTGGGGTGCGGTAGACATGGCTGTTTCTGGAAACCTTGAACCAACAAATCCTGCCATCTCTTGGGGGACCAATCTTTACTTCCGCCCGCTTCCGCGGCTTCCGCTGGCGGAAACGCCCCCCGTTTTACTTCCGCCGCTTACCTCGTACGGATCCTCTCCCGCCCTTCTGGGCGGGCAGACACCCACGCTTGCCAACCGCTCCGTGCGAGGTCCTCGAGGTCCCCGACGCGACCCCGAGGCGGGGAGTGTTGATACAGTCTCTCTCGCGGTGCACGGAAGAGCGGGAGGAGGGCGGAAACCTCGCTCGCCGCCGCCCTGCTCGCCGACCTCCTCTTCGCCCAGGCCCTGTTCGCCCCGGCCCTGCTCTCTGCCGCTCTGTTCGCCCGAGACCCTGTTCGCCGCCTCACCGTTCGCCACCATCGTCGTCCTCGTTTTCGTCGTCGTCGCCGTCGCGGCCCCCGTATCGTCGTCGTCTCATCGTCGCTGTCGCCGTCGCCGTCGCCGTCGTCGTCGTCGTCGTCGTCGTCGTCGTCGTCGTCGTCGTCGCCGTCTCGCCCGCCCGACCCGACCCGCCCGTTGGGGTCCGCCCGACCCGACCCGACCCGCCCGTTTGGGTTCGCGCGTGCTCGCTCGTGTATGCCCCGCACTTTCAAGTCCCGTCCGCCCAACCCGACACGCCCGCTGGGGTCCGCCCGCCCGACGCGACCCGCCCGTGAGGGTCGGCCCGCCGGACCCGACCCGCCCGCCATGGTTCCGCGTGCTCGCTCGTGTATGCCCCGTACTTTACTGTCCCGCCCGCCCGACCCGACTCGCCCGTTATGGCCCGCCCGCCCGACTCTCGCCCGTTGGGGTTCACGCGTGCTCGCTCGTCTGTGCCCCCACAATTGAATGTCCCGCCCGCCCGACCCGACTCGCCCGTTAAGGCCCGCCCGCCCGACCCGACCCGCCCGTGAAGGCCCGCCCGCCCTACCCGACCCGCCCATTAGGGCTCGCGCATGCTCGCTCGTGCATGCCGCGCGCTTTATTGTCCAACCCGCCCGACTTGACCCGCCCGTTCGAGTCCGCCCGCCCCCCGACCCGCCCATCAAGGTCCGCCCACCCGACCCGACCCGCCCGTTGGGGTTCGCGCGTGCTCGCTCGTGTATGCCCCACACTTTCATGCTCCGCCCGCCCGACCCGACCCGCCCCGCCCGTGAGGGTCCGCCCGCCCGACCCGACCTTCCCGTTAGGGTACGCCCGCCGGACCCGACCCGACCGTTAGGGTTCACGCGTGTTCGCTCGTGTATGGCTCTCACGTTCATGTCCCGCCCGCCCGACCCGACCCGCCCGTTTGGGTCCGCCCGCCCGACCCGACCCGCCCGTTAGGGTCCGTCCGCCCGACCAGACCCGCCCGTTGGCGTTCGCGCGTGTTCGCTCGTGCGTGCCCCGCGCTTTGCTGTCCCGCCCGCCCGACCAGACCCGCCTGTTAGGGCCCGCCCGCCCGACCCGACCCGCCTGCCAGGGCCCGCCCGCCCGACGCGACCCGCCCGTTGGGGTTCGCGCGTGCTCGCTCGTGCATGCTCCGCACTTTTCTGTCCCGCGTGTTCGCTCGTGTATGGCTCGCGCGTTCATGTCCCGGCCGCCCGACTCGACCCGCCCGTCGGGGTCCGCCCGCACGACCCGAACCGCCCGTTACGGTCGGCCCGCTTGGCCCGGCCCGCCCGTCAAGGTTCGCGCGTGCTCGCTCGTGTGCGCCTCGCACTTTCCTGTCCCGCCCGCCCGACCCGACCCGCCCGTTACGGCCCGCCCGCCCTGTCCCACCCGCCCGTTAGGGTCCGCCCGCCCGACCCGGCCCGCCCGTCAGGGCCCACCCGCCAGACCCGGCCCGTTCGCCAGGGCCCGCCCGCCCGACCCGACCCGCCCGTCAGGATCCGCCCGCCGTGACCGACCCGCCCGTTGGCAACCCGCCCGACAGACCCGGTCGGTAGGGTTCGCTCTACTGTCCCGCCTGTCCGACCCGACCGCCCGTTTGGGTCCTCCCGCCCGACCCCGCTCGCCCGCCAGCGCCCGACCCGACCCGCCTGTTAGGGCCCGCCCGCCCGACCCGTCCCGCCTGCCAGGGCCCGCCCGCCCGACGCGACCCGCCCGTTGGGGTTCGCGCGTGCTCGCTCGTGTATGCCTCGCGCTTTAATGTCCCGCCCGCCCGACCCGACCCGCCCGTTTGGATCCGCCCGCCCGGCCCGACCCGCCCGCCAGGGCCCGCCCGCCCGACCCGGCCGGCCTGATGGGGTTCGCGCGTGCTCGCTCGTGTATGACCCGCGCTTTCCTGTCCCGCCCGCCCGACTCGACCCGCCCGTTCGGGTGCCGCCCGATTTGGCTCGCCCGTTCGGGTCCGCCCGCCCGACCCGACCCGCCGGTTAGGGTTCGCGCGTGCTTGCTAGTGTATGCCCCGCACTTTCTTCAACGTCCCGCCTGCCCAAGCCGACCCGCCCGCTAGGCAGCGGGCGCGGGGGCGGCGCCGGCGACGACGACGGCGATGACGGTGGCGGGCGGAGACGGCGACGTTGCGGCCGGCGAAAAAGGCCCCGGCGAACAGGACCCCGGCGAACAAGGCCCACGCAAAGAGGAGGGGGGGGATAGAAAACCCGAGCTGCGTCGGCCTGAATCCCCAGACCCCCGACGTAATATTTTTTTCGCTACGTCGACCCTTAGAGGTCCCGACCCTTTCCCCATGACCGGCTTTGCATCCCGAGTCGTTTTGGGACGCTCCCGAGGCCCGGTGAGGGCCCTGGAGGCCGAACATGCAGAAAAACCTTCCGCCATGATCTTTCCATTGCTCGAGGGGGTCTGGATCCCCAGACATCAGATGTCTTGGTTTTTTCAATGCGGGCTCCCTGGAAATCCCGACCCTTTCCCCTGGACCGGTTTTTCGTCCTGAGTCGTTTTTTGACGGTCCTGGGGCCCAGCGAGGGCCCCTGGAGGCCAAAAACTCAGCAGAACCTCCGTCTTGATATTTTCAATGCGCTGGACCTCTGGGTCTGCAGCACGTCCTCCCTCTCTGCAGGTCTCTGCCCACGGCCTCCCGCGAGGCGCTCGTCTCGCCGCGGCGGGGGGCCCCCGCCCCGGCAAGACACGAGCGCGCGCGGCCCGCGGGCCTGCCGGGCAGGCGGGCCTTCCCCCCCCCCTCTTGGCAGGAAGCGGGCGCGCCCTCGTGTGTAGGCGGGGCGTGGACCCAGAGGTCCACACACGAGCAGCAGGGCGCGCCCGCTTCCTGCCAAGAGGGGGGGGGGAAGGCCCGCCTGCACTGCAGGCCCGCGGGCCGCGCGCGCTCGTGTCCTGCCGGGGCGGGGGCCCCCCGCCGCGGCGAGACGAGCGCCTCGCGGGAGGCCGTGGGCAGAGACCTGCAGAGAGGGAGGACGTGCTGCAGACCCAGAGGTCCAGCGTATTGAAAAAATCAAGACGGAGGTTCTGCTGAGTTTTTGGCCTCCAGGGGCCCTCGCCAGGCCCCAGGACCGTCAAAAAACGACTCAGGACGAAAAACTGGTCCAGGGGAAAGGGTCGGGATTTCCAGGGAGCCCGCATTGAAAAAATCAAGACATCGGATGTCTGGGGACCTGGGGAGCCGCACATAGCCAACGAGGCCGCGTTTTTCCACAAGCTCTACTTCTACTGCCCATGGAAAACCTCAGGAACACCCGTGGCAAGCTGTAAAGCAATCGAGGAGCACCGAACCCCTCCCCAACGAAAAGGGTTCCTTCTTCAGCGCCCCGACTGTGTCTGCTTTGGCTCTCCGAGGCGCCGAGATGCAAGGCTTAAGTCGGGCCGATTTTGGACGAAGAAGAAAGAATAGTCAACAAATGCCCTAGAATATGCAAAAATGGTCAACAAATCGTCCCAAGACTATTCAGCTGACGATTTTTTGAATTTTCCTCCTGTAAAGGGACAGGCCCGACTTAATGCAAGGCCACAGCGCTTCGACCGACCACGCGCGATAACCGAACTATGACCGTCCGCCCGTGTGGCCGTTGCACACTTCGGGTCACCTGCACTGTAGTACACGTTGGCCGAAGAAGCAGGTAAGAACATGAAGTAGGAAGGCGGATTAAGTTGATTGGGTCCAGGCCCCCCCAGATAATAACAAAACACAGCACAAGCGTGCCGATTCTTGAAGTAGGAAGGCGCTTGAAGTAGATTGGGATCTGGGAATCCCAAAGTACCTACTTACGCAGGACGAGAGATTTTCCTCTTGAGGTGAAAATGGCCATGAAGAGTTCGCGAGACAACGTCGGCGCCGCCGAACGGACGGCGACCGGACGAGCTCTTTGCAGCAACCGGGGGGAGAGGGATGTATGTATTCATGTTGAATGGGGCCCGCTCGCGCGGGAAGTTGATGGGAGTGCGCGACACGACGCAGGGCCCATCGTGGAGAGTTGCATCGTGGAAAGAAGGAAAAAACTTTCGTCCTGGGGATGTACTTTCAACGACCGGCGTGTAGCGATCAGGCGCCCAATCTTTGAGGAGGAGCCTCGCCCCTCCGCCCGTGGAGCCTCCCCAGGAGCTCGCGACGTCGGCGACAAGAGCACCCGCTTGCCAGCGTCCGTGGAAGGCGAGGTCTTGTTCTGATCCCTCTAAGGTTACGTCGGGCGTGTCCCCCACACAGGGGGATTTCGAAAGAAAAATTCAAAATACGCCAAAAATACTCAAAGCATGCCCCAGAATACTCAAACAATAGTCCCCAGACTATTTCTTGACTATTCTTGAATATCTCCCCTCTAGAAGGACAGGCCCGGCTTAACTCTAAGGCCACTCCGCTGGACCTCCTCGGGAGCTCATGTGCGGGGTGGGGGAGGGGAGAGAAGGCCTCACAGAACGGGACACGGCCATGCAATGAACCTGGAGGGCGCGGCGGCAGGCGCAGCGACCAGATCACTACAGAAGTCGAAGAGCAGCATCGGCGAGAAAACAGAAAAGTGCAGATGCTGATGACGATGATGTTGATATTGATGATGATGATGATGATGATGATGATGAGGAGGAGGAGGAGGATGAGGAGGAGGAAGAGGAAAACGAGGAGCAGGATGATGATGATGAGGAGGAGGAGGAATAGGAGGAGGAGGAGGAGGAGGAGGAGGAGGGAGGAGGAGGAGGAGGAGGAGGAGGAGGAGGAGGAGGGAGGAGGAGGGAGGAGGAGGAGGAGGAGGAGGAGGAGGAGGCAGGAGAGGAGGAGGAGGAGGAGGAGGCGGAGGAGAGGAGGAGGAGGAGGAAGAGGAGGAGGAGGAGGAGGAGGAGGGGAATAGGAGGAGGAGGAGGAGGAATGGAGGAGGAAGGAGGGAGGGTAGGAGGCGGAGGAGGAGGAGGAGGAGGAGGAGGAGGAGGAGGAGGAGGAGGAAGGAAGGAAGGGAGAGGAGGAGAGAGGGAGGAGGAGGAGGAGGAGGAGGGAGGAGGAGGAGGGGGAGGAGGAGGAGGAGGGGGGATAGGAAGAGGAGGAGCAGGAGGAGGAGGAGGAAATAGGAGGAGGAGGAATAGGAGGAGGAGGAGGAATAGGAGGAGGAGGGGAGGGAGGAGAGGAGGAGGAGGAGGAGGAGGAGGAGGAGGCGGAGGAGGAGGATGAGGAGAAGCAGCAACATCACCCTATTCAAATCGAAGGTCCAGCCACAGAAGGGTTGGGAAAATGAAGCGCGTCCAGAAACCTCGATCGTTGGTTCCTTGTTCAAGCTGAGGACTCAGCCACACCAGGAACGGGAAAAGCCTAGCGCGTCCAAAAACGTTGATCCTTGCCTCCTCATCCTCCTTCTCCCTTCTCTTCAGCCCACGACGACGTTGATGGCGGCGGCGACGACCGCTCCGCCGACGGCGGAGAAGACCGACGACCGCAGCGGCGCCATGTAGTGGGCAGCAGCGTGTCGTCCCAGTCAAAGACGACGACGGCACCGCACTGCTGCTCGCAGGCTGCGCCCGGCGGACCGGCGGCCGTCGCCGCCGCCGTCGCCGCCGCCGCCGCCGCCGCCGTCGCCGTCGCCGACGCCGCCACCGCCGTCGTCGCCGTCGCCGTCGCCGCCGTCGCCGTCGCCGCCGTCACCGTCGCTGTCGCCGCCGTCGCCGTCGCCGTCGCCGCCGCCACTGCCACCGCCACCGCCTCCGCCGCCGCCGCCGCCTCCGCCGCCGTTGCCGCCGCCGTTGTCGCCGTGGTCGTGGTCGTCGTCGTCGTCGTCGTCCTCGTCGTCGTCGTCGTTGTCGCCGTTTCCCTCGTCGTCGTCGGCGTCGTTGTCGTCGCCGCCGTCGCCGTCGTCGTCGTCGTTGTTGTCGTCGTCACCACCGCCTCCGCCGCCACCGCCGCCGCCTCCGTCGCCGTCGCCGACGCCGTTGTCGTAGTGGTCGTCTTCGTCGTCGTACGTGGAGCCCACACGGTGGAACCCACACGGTGGATGCACTTAGGGAGGGCCAGCATGCTTGGTCACGCAGGGGCCAAGCGCTGGAACCATGCGCGGCCGCGTATGTGCGCATGTGTAGCCACTCTCTGGCCATGACCCAAAACGGTTCTGAAAGAAGCGGGTCTGGGACCCCCTGGGGCTTACCTGAACCTGCTTTCCGTGCCGGGCCACTTTCTGACCAGCCCTGGGGCCTGGGAAGGGCTCCGAAAAACCGAAAATGGCGACGCAAAACCCAGGACCTGCTTTCCTCGCCACCGTTCCGTAAACAATACCATACCATAAACGGCATCCACATCATTTATTGGAGCTCCGAGCTCGGAGCTCGCAAACATTTTTTAACGTAGACACTGAACGGATTCTTCTAAGCAGCGGTTCAATTGCTGGTGCAATATCTCCCCCGTAGTGTCAGCACGCTAGAGACACCGCGAGGCTGCATCGGCCGCGCGGCCGGGACAAGCAAGTGCCACCTGTGACAATAATTGCCCAGGCACGTGTCCAAAACCGGAGCGACAAGGTGCAACCACGACTGACAACACATGCTGATCTTCGCGCGCAGGTGCCAAGGAGGAGGAGGAGGATGAAGGGGTAGAGGGGGCGCGAAGATCATAATGCCAGCGGAGGAGGAGGAGGAGGAGGAGGAGGAGGAGGAGGAGGAGGAGGAGGAGGAGGAGGAGGAGGAGGAGGAAGAGGAGGAGGAGGAGGAGGAGGAGGAGACGAGGAGAAGGAGGCGGAGGAGGAGGAGGAGGAGGAAAAGGGGCGGAAATGCAGGCAGTACAACGCATTGCGCACAAAACTAGACAACCAAGCATGCGAACGTGGCCGAAACACCCCTGGCCAACGTCCAGAGTTTCTGAATACACAGCTGGACGCAGCCCAAAAAGTTAGCCTGGCGAAGGACCCAACCATACGCAGTTGTGAGTAACGTAATTGTGGGTATCGTCTTCGGTGAAGCTCCCTATGGGTCACGAAGCGTGTAAGGTGGTGTGCCGACATGGGTGGCGGGGACGCATGCGAACGGCGACACTGGGACCCTCGGCGGAGCTCCTACGGGGCCACAAAACGTGTGAGGGGCTTGCTGGAATGGGTGGCGGGGACGCATGCGAACTGCGCCACTGCGGCCTTCAGCGGAGCTCTCATGGGGCCATAAAACGTGTGAGGGGCGTGCCAGAATGGGTGGCGGGGGCGCGTGCGAACTGCGCCAGTGGGACCTTCGGCGGAGTTCCTGTGGGGCCACGAAACGCGTGAGGGTTTGCCGACATGGGTGGCGGGGACGCATGCGAACTGCACCACTGAGACCTGCGGCGAAGCTCCTATGGGGCCACGAAACATGTGAGGAGTATGCCGGCTGGGGCCACCAGTGGGGCTCCCTATGGGGGCCACGAAACGTGCGAAGGGTGTGCCTGAATGGGTGGCAGAGGCTCATGCGAACACCGCCACTAGGGCCTTCGGTGGAGCTCCCTATGGGGAAACTAAGCGTGTGAGTGGTGTTCCGCATTGGGTGGCGGGGATGCATGCGAACATCGCCACTGGGACCTTCGATGGAACTCCCTATGCGGTCACGAAACGTGTGCGGGGTGTGCCGAAATTGGTGGCGGGGACGCATGCGGACACCGCCACTGGGGCTTTCGGTGGAGCTGGGGCCACGACGCGTGTGAGGGGTGTGTGAGCATGGGTGGCGGGGACGCATGCGAACGCCGCTATTGGGGCCTTCGGTGGAGCTCCCTATGGGGCCACGAAACATGTGATGGGTGTGCCGAAACGGATTTCGGGGACGCATGCGAACACCACCACAAAGGCCTTCGGTGTAGCTTCCTATGGGGCCACGAAACGTGTGAGGGGTGTGCCGAAATGGGGGGCGGGGACGCATGCGAACGGCGCTGCTCGAAATTTCGGTGGAGCTCCCTATGGGACCACAAAGCGTGTGAGGGGTGTGCCGACATGGGTGACGGGGACGCATGCGAACACCGCCACTGAAGCCTTCGGTGGAGCTCCGTTTGGGGCCATGCGAACTGCGCCATTGGGACCTTCGGCGGGGCTCCTATGTGGGCACGAAGCGTGTGATGTGTGTGCCGACGTGGGTGGCGGGGACGCATGCGAACTGCGCCACTGGGGCCTTCAGCAGAGCTGCCGAAATTCGTGGCGGGGACGCGTGCGAACTTCATCAGTGGGACCTTCAGCGGAGCTCCTATGGGGCCACGGAATGTGTGAGGGGCGCGCCAAAATGAGGGGGGTGACGGGAGGGGAGAGGAGGGGGGGAGGAAGGAAGGAAGGGAGGACGGAACGCGGGGACCGTCTTCAAAACGAGGACCCAACACCACAGGATTGTTGGGAAAAACAGCGCCAGGGGGAGAACGGGAGAGGGAGAAGCCAAGAGGTGGCGGGCCAAAGAACGACAAATAAATGTATCATGACCCACTTCAGGATACGGAGGCAGCTCCGATCACCGGGCGCTGGAGGCTCGCAAAGTAACAGCGGCCCGCCCGGCGGGAGCGCCTGGCACATGCGCGCGTACAGCAAACAAAATCGCCCACTCAGAGGCTCGCAACCACGCTCGCCTCAGACCATGTCGGCGCTGATCTCGATGCGGATCTCGACGCCCGCTGGGGCGCCAACGTCGGATGAGGCGTGGACGTTGGTGTCAATGCTGGTGTCAATGATGGTGTCGATGCTGGTGTCGGTGATGGTGGCAATGCTGGCGTCGCTATTACGCTATCAGCCACTCGGCCGGGACAGCGCTGCGCACCGTGAGAGCAGCACGCACGCACCAACTCCATGACATTCAGAGGGGGGACAATATTTGTCCGCCCTCTCCCCGTGCCCGGTGTCATTGCCGGGATTGGTGCCCTTTCTTATCCGCAGAGAAAATAAGTCGTACAACGTTTCAGTGCGAGACTGTTCAACGTCGGCAGGTCGGCGCGGGAGTCGGCGAGCTGGCCGATGCTGGAGTCGGCGAGCGAGTCGGCGTGGGAGTCGGCGAGCTGCTCCGTGCGGGAGTCGGTGAGCTGGTCGGTGCGGGAGTCGGCGATCTGGTTGTCGCGGGAGCGGGTGAGCTGGACTGCGCGGGAGCGGGTGAGCCCCTCGGCGCGGGAGTCGGCGAGCTGGTCGATGCAGGAGTCGGCGAGCTGGTCGGCGCAACAATCGCCTCTCGCCGACCAACTCACCGACTCCCGCGGCACTCGGCTCGCCGGCTCCCGCGCCGTCCAGCTCGCCGGCTCCAGCATCGGCCAAGATCGCCCACCGCCGCGCCGACCAGCTCGCCGACTCCTGCACTGACGAGCTCGGGGCTCGCAGACATGCCACGTCCTCGAGCATTGAAGGCATATTTTTGTTGTCAGTTTTTTTAAATGGCCGTGAGTTTCGCTTGAGACTTCCTTACGGCGCACTGTGCCAAAACTGAACATGTGCAACAACTAGCTGCACGGATGGATGGCCAGTCGTTTTCAACGTGTGGCTCGCGTCGTCTCGTGGCGCACAATCTTCTGGAACACGTCTCGACCTCCTTCTCTTCCTCCTCCTCCTCCTCCTCCTCCTCCTCCTCCGTCTGTCGCTGACACTGGCACGACTTGCCACCCGCCGTCAGACAAAACCAAAACGGCGGCATGCTTTTGGCCGCTTTCGGCAGCTCGGGCCAGTCAACAACGATTCATGGTCAAAAGCCGGCCCTGGGGAAGCGGTCGAGACCTTCAAGTGTCCACGCCGTGGACAAAACCACGTCGTCGGAGGCGTGGAGGCAATCGTTTCTCTTGAGGACTGCTGCCATAGCACCGCACCCCGACCCGAGGGGAGGCCCAGGCGGGACAAGGGGCCTGCCAGATGGCTTGCGCCTGGAGGGAGATGGGCGACAGAGAGGGAGACCGACCCGAGGAGCCCGCCTCCTCCTTCTCCTACTCCACTTCGCCCTCTCCATTCCCATCCTCCTCCTGATCCCAGTCGTCGTACTCGTCTTCGTCCTCGTCCTCGACCTCGTCCTTGTCCTCGTGCTCTTCGTCCTCCTCCTCCTCCTCTTCCTCCTCTTCCCCCCTTCAAGCAAATCCCACCAGCCCTTTGGGCGTGAGTGGTTTAGAGAGCCCCCTCTGTCCTCAACCCCCCAACCCCCCTTCTTCCCCTTCGGGAAGGGGTTTACCCCTCCCCCTACCCCCTCCCCCTGGGCCTGGACAGGGAGTCCCGCGGGTGGTCAGGGGGGTCTTTTTCGACGCCTGGGAGGGCCAAAAAACGACGACCCTCACGAGGATTCTGGCCCCGACGGGGGGGCGCTCTTGTAGCCCCCTCCTCTTCTGTGAAGCCACAATCCTTCCTTTTACGAGGGTTTTGGCCCCATTTTGGCCTCCCGAGGGGGCCGCGCTCATCTTCCTTCCTAGCAAAATCATTCATTTTACGACGGTTTTGGGCTCATTTTGTCCTTCTCAGGGGGTAGCGCTCATTTGCGCTTCTGAGGAGGTCGCACGAGGCCCCCAAGAGGCCCCAAGATGCCCCCAGGAGGCTCCCAAGAGGCCTCCAAGAGGAGGCCAAGAGGCCAAGAGGCAAGAGGCCCCCAAGAGGCCCCCAGAGGCTCCCAACAGGCCCAAGAGGCCCCCACGAGGCCCCCAGAGCCTCCCAAGAGGCCCCCAAGAGGCCCCCCCCAAGAGGCCCCAAGAGGCCTCCAAAGGCCCCCAGAGGCCCCAGGAGGAGCCCGAACGACTCACACCAGGACGAGGGGCCCGAACGACTCACACCACGAAGAGCCCGAACGACTCACACCACAAGGAGGGGCCCGAACGACTCATACCAGGACGAGGCGCCCGAACGACTCACACCACACGAGGAGCCCGAACGACTCACGACCCGAACGAACGAGGAGCCCGAACGAGTCACACCAGGAGGAGGGGCCCGAACGACTCACGAGGGGCCCGAACAACTCACACCACGAGAAGCCCGAACGACTCACACCAGGACGAGGAGCCCGAACGACTCACACCACGAAGAGCCCGAACGACTCGACACACAGGAAGAAGGGCCCGAACGACTCACACCAGGACGAGAAACCCCAAACGACTCAAACCACGAGGAGCGCTTTCTCTCCCTCCTCCTCCGCCTCGTCCTTCTCCCGCTCCCCCCACAAGGAGGATGTACAAGGAGGCGGGAGGAAGGAGGGACAGGGGAGATACGCGGGGCCAAACGGACACACGCCTGAAAAACACGACTGTCGGCATGCTTCGCATGAGTTGCTGTTGTGAGATGGGCTGGTGGGGATACGCGAAGCGTAAAGAATTTTCAATTTTTCACTCTTTCTGCTGCTGCTCCTCCGCCTCCTCCTCCTCCTCCTCTTCCTCCTCCTCACCTCCCTCTGCTCCTCGCCCTCCTCATCACCCTCCCCCTCACTCTCACGCTCTGCTTCCTCGCCACCTCCGCCCCTGCTGGCTGTGTTCGCGCTAGTCGCCTCCGCCCTCTTGCTCGCGAATCGGCTCCAAGGCCAGAGTGGCGTCGTACGTCTGGCACCGACGCCTCGCCCCCGGCTGGGCTGGGCAATGACGACACACGACGCGCGTCTTCCATCTCCATCCCGCCGGAGGTGTTGCTGCTGCTGCTCCTCCTCCTCCTTCTCGTCCTCCTCCTCCCCGTCCCGCTTTTCGTCGTCGTCGTCGACCTCCTCCTCCTCTTCCTCCTCATCCTCCCCGTCCTGCTTTTCGTCGTCGTCGTCGTCCTCCTCATCTTCTGGGCCGTGACCGTCCCTTCGAACTGCTGTGCAGGGGTGGCTGAGACGGATGCGCAGGACAGGAGGATGCTGATGAAGAAAAATACTTGACGAAGGCTGAACCCCACCAATCCTTTGGAGCGTGGGTGGTTCCGGGCGAAGCGGGGTGAACTTCCGTGCCCGCTGGTGTGACTGCCTGACTGACTGATTGACTGAACGTTAGGAGAACACTTCTGACAAAACATTTCAGACCGCCCGGGAACGTGCAACCGCAACTGGGCGACACATTGCAACCCGCCCGCGCGCGCAACCGCAAACGCAACCGGGCGACGCATTTCAACCCGCCTGCGCGGCAACCGCAACCGCAACCGGGCGACACATTTCAACCCGCCCGCGCAACCGCAATCGCAACCGCAACTGGGCGACACATTTCAACCCGCCTGCCCGCGCGCACAACCGCAGCCGCAACCTGGCGACACACTTCAACCCGCCTGCGCGGTACTAGTAGTAAAAGTAGTACGAATCGTAGGAGAAGAAGTAGTAGTAGATGTCTTTTCGAAGCCGCTCGGAGGCCTCTTGGGGCGTCTTCGGCGCCTCTTGGGGCCTCTTGGGCACCTCTTGGGGGTATCTTGGGGGCCTGATGTAGGCCTCGTGGTGCCTCCTGGGGACCTCCTGTGGGCCATCTGGGGACCTCTTGGGGCCATCTGGTGGACCTCTGGGGGCCCTCTTGGGGGGCTCTCGGTGAGCCGTCTGGCACCGACGCCTCGCCCCCGGCTGGGCTGGGCAATGACGACACACGACGCGCGTCTTCCATCTCCATCCCGCCGGAGGTGTTGCTGCTGCTGCTCCTCCTCCTCCTCCTCGTCCTCCTCCTCCCCGTCCCGCTTTTCGTCGTCGTCGTCGACCTCCTCCTCCTCTTCCTCATCCTCCCCGTCCTGCTTTTCGTCGTCGTCGTCGTCCTCCTCATCTTCTGGGCCGTGACCGCCCCTTCGAACTGCTGTGCAGGGGTTGCTAAGACGGATGCGCAGGACAGGAGGATGCTGATGAAGAAAAATACTTGACGAAGGCTGAACCCCACCAATCCTTTGGAGCGTGGGTGGTTCCGGGCGAAGCGGGGTGAACTTCCGTGCCCGCTGGTGTGACTGCGTGACTGACTGATTGACTGAACGTTAGGAGAACACTTCTGACAAAACATTTCAGACCGCCCGGGAACGTGCAACCGCAACTGGGCGACACATTGCAACCCGCCCGCGCGCGCAACCGCAAACGCAACCGGGCGACGCATTTCAACCCGCCTGCGCGGCAACCGCAACCGCAACCGGGCGACACATTTCAACCCGCCCGCGCAACCGCAATCGCAACCGCAACTGGGCGACACATTTCAACCCGCCTGCCCGCGCGCACAACCGCAGCCGCAACCGGGCGACACACTTCAACCCGCCCGCGCGGCAACCGCAACCGCAACCGCAACCAAGCGACACATTTCAACCCGCCGGCGCGCGCAACCGCAACCGCAACCCGGCGACGCATTTGAACCTGCCCGCGCATCGGCAACCGCAAGCGCAACCGGGCGACACATTTCAAACCGCCCGCGCAACCACAACCGCAACCGCAACTGTGCGACACATTTCAAATCGCCCGCGCGCGCAACCACAACCGCAACCGGGCGACACATTTCAAACCGCCCGCGCAGCCGCAAGCGCAACCGCAACCGGGCGACACATTTCAGCCCGCCCGCGCGCGCAACCGCAACCGCAACCAGGCGACACACTTCAACACGCCCACACAACTGCAATCGCAACCTCAACCGGGCGACACATTGCAACCCGCCCGCGCAGCCGCCGCAACGGCAACCGCAACTGGGCGACACATGTCAACCCGCCCGCGCAAAACATCAACCGCAACCGCGGGGCGGCACATTCCACCCCGCCCGCGCAACCGCAACCGCAACCGCAATTGGGCGACACATTTTAACCCGCCCGCGCGCGAAACCGCAACCGCAACCGGGCGACATATTTTAACCCGCCCGCGCAACCGCAACCGTAACAGTAATTGGGCGACACATTTTAACCCGCCCGCGCAACCGCAACGGCAACCGCAAGCAAGCGACACATGTCAAACCGCCCGCGCAACCGCAACCGCAACTGCAACCGGGCGACGATGCATTTCAACCCGCCCGCGCGCGCAAACGCAACCGCAACCAAACGAAACGTGTCAACCCGCCCGCGCGCGCAACCGCAACTGCGACCAGGCGACACATTTCAATCCGCGCGCGCAACCGCAACCGCAACGGCACGTGGGTAACACATCTCAACCCGCCAGCGCAACCGCAACCGCAACCGCAAGCAAGCGACACATGTCAACCTTTCCGCGCAACAACAGCCGCAACCGCAACTGGGCGACACATTTCAACCCGCCCGCGCGCGCAACCGCAACCGCAAGCGGGCGACGCATTTCAACCCGCCGGCGCGCGCAACCGCAACCGCAGCTGGGGGGCGCATTTCAACCCGCCCGCGCGCGCAACCGCAACGGCAACGGGACGACACATTTCAACCCGCCCGCGCAACCGCAACCGCAACCGCAACTGGGCGACACATTTAAACCTGCCCGCGCGCGCAACCGCAACCGCAACTGGGCGACGCATTTCAACCCGCCCGCGCAACCGCAACCGCAACCGCAACTGGGCGACACATTTCCACCCGCCCGCGTAATCGCAATCGTAACCGCAACCAGGCGACACAGGTCAACTCGCCCGCGCGCGCAACCGCAACTGCGACCGGGCGGCGACGCATTCAACCCGCCCGCGCAATCGCAACCGCAACCGCAACGGCAGCTGAGGGTCACATTTCAACCCGGTGGGAATTGGCCCCGCGAGGCCCGAAGAGAACAGCACGTATACCCACGCAGGGGGGGACAGTCGGCCAGTGGGGCAAAGGCCATGTCAATTGGGATAGGTATCGGCTAAACAGCTTTCCTCGCCGCTACGGTCAAGAACTTCTGTTCAACGTTTTGCGGCTGCGGCCCCTGCGACACGCTGCGCCCGGCGAGCTAATGGCGGGTCGCTCCGCCTCGCGCGGCGGGAGGCTGGGGAAAAGCCCAGTACCCAGACGTGCTCGGCACGTCGCGCCGAACGTGGTGGCATGTCGCGCCCAAGCGTGACCCTATCCCTCCCCTGTTGCCCTGGCTTCTGGGCCATAACTCGGCTCTCTGGCGACCGTTCGGGACGACACGGGCACCCGGGAGCGCTCTCGGCGAGGAGCAGCTGCCCAACAAAAACCGCCAGCAACCGGCGACATCGCACGAACACCTCGACCCTCGAGGCATAGCTATCCTCCTCCGAGCCTCCTCGCCACACCTCGCCCTCCCGGGGGCCGCCTGAACAGCGCCCTCCTCTCCTCCGCGGACCGCTCCTGCTGCTCCGCGGCCATGCGGCTCACCTGTGGCCGCGCCGCGCCCCCGGCGCTCCCCCCCCCCCCAGCGAGGGAGGGAGGCCTCGTGGAGCGCTTCCGCGCTTCTGCACTGGGCTGCCCAGCGTCGCCGCAGGGCGGCGGCCACCACGGCGGCAGCGTGCGGCGGGCGGCGGGCGGCAAGGGCGGCGGGCAACGGACGGACGCACGGAGCTCTTCCGTTCTGGTCTGCGCTGTTCCATCGTCACGTGCGCCGCAAAACCAAGCTGCTATCTTCTGTTGTTGTGTACTATATTTTAAGATCAGATGCTTCCATATGTCATGACATCCTCCCTTGTGTTCTATGTTGGTATAGTGTGTTCTCCCATGTTCTGGCATTTCAGCTCCAATATAATATTATCGTATGTTTCGTTATGTTTTGGTATGTGATGTTATGTGTTGCTCGGTCCTTTTACCATGGGACATGCAATACAATGCCCCGTTCGTTGTGCATGCTGTGAAATGTTGACAATCCTTTTTTCTCTTCTATGTTGTTCCTACTATTCCATTACGGTGTGACATGTCATGAGGTGTCCTACGTTTGTTCTATATCATGTATGGTATGCTCTGTTATCAAATCATCAATTGCATGTTCCGTTTATATACGATCCGATCCCATCGTGCTATATGCTGTTTTGTTCTCGTCATGTTCTTTCCTCTTCTCTTCTATACTTTTCTGTTCCACCATGCTCTGTTATATCCTGTTCTGTAATAGTACGCCCGTTTTACAACGGTAACGGCGTGACGTCGTGGCGCATGGACGGTGTGACGCCGTGAATCTCGTCGAAGACGCGAGGCGGGCCACTCAAGGAACACCGGTGATCCTTGGGATATGGCGGCCGCGGTATGCAGTGTGGGTGATGCGGTTCTGGAGCAGGGTTCCTACGATCTAGTAGTCGGTCGCTGCTGTGTTCTCAATGTGTTCCAAAATGTTATGTTCGATTCTGTCAGATTTCCACACATTTTCATGTGCCATGTTATATGTTGTTATGCTATGCCCTTGTCTGTTATTGTATATATTGTGCTGTTTTGTTATGGTTTCTTATGGCGTACGACCCTGCTATCATCTGTGTTATTAGTCGCCGGCCCAACGGGCCAAGGGCGTGCTAAGATCTCCTGTAATTGGTTCACAATATTTATATTTCGCGCGCGCGGGGCCGCCCCTGGGGGCTCCCGGACGAAAAATACCACGGCAAAGTCCTGGGTACAGGTCCTGGGCAAGTCCCGGCCAGATCCTGGGCAGGTCCCAACGAAGTCCTGGCCAGGTCCCAGCAGGCTCCCAAGAGCGCTCCAGGAACGCATCAAGTGGCCTCCAAGAGAGCTCAACATGGTCCGAGACGGTCCAAGAGCGACCCAAGACGCCAAAGGTGGCATCCAGACGTCCCAAAGCGCCTTCAAAACGCCCCCAAGAGACCTCCCAAGAGGGCCCATAGAGGCAGAAGTTAGCGATCCCCCTTGAATTTTTGAAGGTTTTGGCGATCTCGCCTTTTCGGCTTACCAGCGCTCCAAGACGGCCCAAGAAACTTCCAGGATCGTGCCAACACGGCCCAAGAGGCCTCCAAGAGCACCTAGAACAGCCCCAGAGGGTCCGAAGACAGCCCCACGGGCCTCCAAGATGGCCGAAGAGGTTCCCAAGAGGGCTCCAAGAGCAGGCCCAGACGGGGGACCCGAACTGACATTTCGAGCTCTAGGCGCAGAGAGGTCTATGGAGGCCCCAAAAAACTCCCAAGAACCCCCCCCAAAACCCCAAAAGAGGCTCCAAGAGGCCCCCACGAGGCAACGAACGCGCAGGCAACCGCCTGCGATGGCACAAAACGGGCCGGCGGAAGGGCGAAGCGATTAATTAAACCGCCTTATTTTGTTCTATTGGATTGTATGCATTTTTTTCTTGTGTTCTGTTTTGCTACGCGCTGTTCTTCTTTTGTATAATGAAAGCAACAATCGGTTACTCCCTTATAACAGATCCTGCCATAAAGGTTCGACTGCCATATGGTGGTCGGGTCTGTTCTGTTAGAATTAGAGACAGGGCCTTCAAAGCAAAGTGGTGGGCCAAAAGGCCAGACACCCGCGGGGGCCCAGCAGGGCCGCCCACCTGAGAGGGGCCACCTCGGGCCGCCTCTCGGCAAACCAGCGGGGCCGCCTTGGGCCACCGCACATGAGCCCCCGCACAGCAGAGCGTGCCTCGCGTGCCTACTCACACCAGGGGCAACACACGATAACGAAGCTTCTCCTCACTCACTCACTCACGGATGACGAGCCGCGGTGCGCAAGAAGGCGGCTGACCCTGCGACTCGCCTGCCTTCCGCCCGCCGCGCTGCTCACGGCGGCAACCTCCGCCGCCTCCACTACCTGTGCTGCCGCGGGAGCCGCTGGGCTGCCGCCCGAGCTGCTGGCCGCGGCTGAGGCTCCGCCTGTAGGCTCCGCCTCACTGCCGAACTCCTCCAGGTAAAACTCCAGGTGCTCCGAGCCGCGGCGCGCCAGGCGGCGGCGGACCCTGCGGCTCGCTAGGCCGCCGCTGGGTGGGGCTCCCGCGGTTGCGAGCTCCTCCTCGGCTGCCTCGCCTGCTCTGGGGGCGCCCGCACTCGGCCCTGGCCGCTGCTGGGGCAGGCTGGCCGCCGCCGCCTGCACCTCCTGCGCGGCCGCGGCCGCTGGGCCGCTGCCCGAACTGCTGGCTGCGGCTGAGGCTCCGCCCGTGGGCTCCGCCTCTATGCCTATCCACTCCAGGTGGCGCTCCTGGGCATGTCCTGGCACTGGCCCTTGGGGGCGCAAGGCAGGGATGCCCTCTACTCCCACTCTCCGCTGGTCCGCGCGAGGTCTGCCACCAGGGTGTAGCCCTCGCTCCCGCAGGCTGCGCTGGTTCCTGCCAGACTTGTTGGTCATGTAGCTGGGCCCTGGGCACTGCACCTTGAGGCGAGACTCACCTCCCGCGCGGCCGCCCAGCACCTTGTGGGCGCCACGCTTGGTGCACGCCACGACCACCTGGGTGTCCTCGCCTACGTCCGCGCAGGCGTAGCTGAGCACGTGCCCCAGGGCGCTGAAAGCGACAGCGGTGGCCGAGAGGGCGGCCGCGCTGCTCCCCGTCGAGCGGCTGTCCTCCAGGTGGGGCGGCGCGGCTGGAGCTCCGCCGCCGAGGGCCTCTCCAGCCTGCTGGGGCTCCGATGCCGCCGCCGACTGCACCTGCGGCTCGAGGAACATGGGCCCGAGCGCGCCACTGGGGTCCATGGTCATGCGCCTCTCTGGCTCGAGGCGCCAGTCGCCGCCCCACTGGGCCCGCTCCCCAGCGTAGACGGGCGAGGCACGGCACTGGCCTGCTGCGGCCTCGAGGGCCTTGGACTGCTCCTCGTGGGCCTCCAAGAGGACCAGGCCGCGCAAACGCTGGGCCGAGGGGGGCAGCAGCAGCTGCCGTGGGTGGAGCTGGTCAGTGTCCAGGCCCGCCGCCGGCGAGTGACGCTTGCGAACCGCCTGCAGCATCTCCAGGCTGAGGGGCGGCAGCGTCGAGCCTCGGACGTCCCAGCTCCAGACCTGAAGCCCTCCTGCTGCCGCATGGCCTGCCAGTTGGCCTCCAGCTGCTCGACTGCCATCGTGCCTGCCAAGGGCCTGCTAGCCTCTGGATCCACCACTGGCAGGGGCGGCGCGGCCTTTCCAAAACTGTGGGCGAGTCTGCCGCCCTTCTGCACGGCCTGCTTGGCCCATATCCTGCAGGAGGCCGAGCTCTTGCCGCCGTCCCGCTTCTGGGAGCGCACGAGGCGCCGCTGCAGCACTGCAGTAGCCTCAGGGTCACCATGTACGCCAGCTTGGTCACTGCGGTCGCCCCACTCGCTAGTGCCGAACTCGATGGCCCCAACTACGTTCTCCTCGGCGCCCAGGGGGATGTGGTCCCAGCTGGGCCTTGCAGCGCACTCCCGGCCCCTGGGCGTGCCGCGGGCGCCCATGCCGCGGCGGCCTACCGGGTCGCTCTCGACGCCCTCGGCGCCGCTCCCGTGCAGGCGCAGGCCCGCCGCGCTGGCCTCGCTAGGCGCTCTCTGGCCCTGGCTGCGCCTCTCCGACTCGGCTCCTGCGGAGCTGCCAGAAGGATGAGAAGCCAGTGGAGCCAAGTCCGCTGCCTCAGCCGCCAGCTCCCGCTTGCATGCCTGGGCCACCGTCGGCCACTCGCCCAGCGCCTCGCCGCGCCGCTCGGCTTGGCCTCGCTCGGCGGCTGGCTGGGGCTGCCAGGGGCCGCCGCCGTCCGCAAGCTCGCCATCGTCGCTGCTGATCTCCTCCATGGGGCAGGACTCGGCCCACGGCGCACGCTTGGGGGCCGCTGGGGCTCCCTCGAGCTGCGCCCGCGCTGCCTCCATCTGTGCGCGAATGGCTGCCCAGGCCACCTCGAAGTTGCTGGATCTCCACGCCTCTGGCAACTTCTCCAGCTGCATGAGGAGCCCTGGCACCTGGCTGGCTCCTGTCCACTCTGCTGCACGCTGGCGGCGCAGCGCCTCAGCCTCCTCGCGGGCTGCCTCCTCGAGCACCTGGAGCGCGCGGCTCGCCTCCTCCACCTCTGCGTCGAGCTCCGCGAGCTCCTCCTGGGCCTTCTGGAGCTGGGCCTCGACGAGGTCGCGCGCCTCCTGCTTCTGCACAAGCTCCTGGCGGGCTGCTCGGAGCCGCTTCTCACCCTTGCTGATGGCGTTCGCCTCCCTGTGGAGCCGTGTCGCCCGCGGCAGGGAAGAGGCCTTCTGCTCCGCTGCTGCTTTTTGGGCCTTGACCAACTCGGCACGCTTCGCCTCCAGCTGCCTGACCACGACGTCGGTGAAGCAGCCGTCCACTCCGTCGGGGGGCTCGGCCTGCAGCGCCTCGAGCTGCTCGACTGCCGCCTGGAGCCTCTCGATCGCCGTAGCGCCTCCGCCGCTGGGCGTCCCACTCGCTGCCGACGCCGAGGTCTGCGACTTGGTGGGGGCCGCCCGCGATGCCGCGCCGCGGGCCTGCCTCTGGGCACGGCGCCCGCGTGGCTGATCCACCCAGCCGTCCTTGTTCGCCTTGGGCCTCGCCTTGGCTGGGAGCGCCCCCATCGCCCAAGGCGGGGCGGCATGCCCGCAGCACAGGCACGAGGTGCGCCAATCCCAGTTCCATCCGCCACAGCTGCACATCCAGTAGGCCTCGCAGCGCCTGCCGCAGCCGCCGCCGCGCGGGTGGTGGTAGCAGCAGCCGTGGTACTATTGCTTATGCTGAGAGTCGTGGTGACAATAGTGGTGTTACTAAACGAAGTAGTAGTAGTAGTAGTAGTAGTAGTAGTAGTAGTAGTAGTAGTAGTAGTAGTAGTAGTAGTAGTAGTAGTAGTAGTAGTAGTAGTAGTAGTAGTAGTAGTAGTAGTAGTAGTAGTAGTAGTAGTAGTAGTAGTAGTAGTAGTAGTAGTAGTAGTAGTAGTAGTAGTAGTAGTGGTATTTGTAGTGTAGTACTACTGGTAGACGTAATAATAATCCAACGCGCAGCGGGGGACGGGAATGTCGTCACACTGGATGGACCTAAGGATCTGGCGGCTGCGGCCTGCAGGGTTGGCGGTGGAAGTGGAAGGCGAAGCGGGGGGCGGGATACCCGGGACACTGGCTGGACCTGGGGATCTGGCGGTCGCTTGTGCAAGGTGGGCGGGTCGGGAGTTCCATCTTTAAATCTCGCGATCCCAAGCTGCCGTGTGAAGAAAAAACAACAGTTCTTGATCAACAACTCGCTGAGGTGCAAGTCTTAGCCTGGCGGAATAAACAAACTTACGCTAATATTGTTTTGGTTAGCAAACTGTGAGCCAGCGTGGACCCCAATCAGTGTGATTCTAGCAGTGTATGTTGTGCAATTTTTTGTGGAACAATATACATATATATATACACATATACATATATATACATACATACATATACACACGGTGCAATCTACGTGGTGCAATGTATGTTGTGCAATCGATGTCGTGCTATCTTTGTTGCGCAATCTTTGTGGTCAAATCTATGTTGTGCGCAATCCATGTGGTGCACTCGACGTGGTGCAACCTGTGTGGTGCGTAATCGATGTGGTACAATCGAAATGGTGCAATATGTGCGATGCAATTTATGTTTGCAATAGGTGTGTACGTTCTATGCTGTGCAATTAATTTCTGTTCGCAATGAGTTGTCCACTCCACTGCTCGCGCAAACATCCCACCCACCCACCCGCAACTTGGTTTGCAAAATCTCTTAGGACCGTGACGGTGGGTACCGCATGGAACTTGGCAACAACAGCGACGCCGACGACGACAGCGACAACGACGATGACGACGCCGCCGACAACGGCTACAACGACATCGACGACGTCTCCAACGACTTCGACGACGCCGACAACGACGACGACGACGACACCGACGACGACGACGACACCGACGCCGACGACGACGACGATGACAACGACGACGACGATGACGACGCCGACGATAACGACGATACCGACGACGACGAAGACGTCAACGACGCCGACGACGACGACGACGACGACGACGGCGGCGACGACGACGACGCCGACGTCGACGTCGACGTCGACGAAGACGACAACGACGCCGACGACGAAGACGACGACGACGCCGCCAACGAAGACAACGAGGAAGGAGGGAGGACGACGATGGCGACAACGACGACAACGACGAGGGAGGGGGGAGGACGGCGACGACGCGAACGACGAAGAAGGAGGAAGGACGGCGACGCCGACGACGGCAACGACGAGGGAGGAGGGAAGACGACGACGACAACGACGACGACGACGACGACGGCGACGAAATAGGAGGGACGACGACGAGACGCCGACGACGGACGACGACGACGACGAGGGAGGAGGAGGAAGGACGACCACGGCGACAACGACGACGGAAACGACCACGACGCCAAAGAGGACGACGACGACGAACACGAGGAAAGACAGAGGACGACGTAGGCGACGACGACGACGACAACGACGCGGGAGGAGGGAGGACGGCGACGACGACAACGACGCAAGAGCGCGCGCGCACGCTTTTGTTGAAAATCCGTGTTGCGAAACCATGTGTTTTTGTAGGTTTTTTGGACGCACGATTTTGAAATCCTTCCGAAACCGATGGGTTTTGAAGGTTTCCGGCATACGCGCGCGACGACGCGCGCGTCTGCACTTCGTCCCATTTGTTGCCGGGGATTCTCGCGTTCGCACACGCGCAAGGGCGTTCGACAGATTTCGACATGAGCGCGCGCGAAGTCCGTTTGGTAGCATTTTGTGAAAATCTTGAAAAACCTATGGTTTGCTTAAGATTTCGCAAGAGCTTTCGCGGAAGCTTTTTTAGCAACTCTGTGTTGCGGAACCCTGTTTTTTATGCTTTTTGGAAACTCGATTGCGAAATCCTTCCCGCACCGAAGGTTTTTGAAGGATTCCGGCATGCGCGCGTGACGACGCGCGCGTGTGCACTTCGTTTCATTTGTTGCAAAAGGATTCGCGAAACAGTGTTATGTTAGAAAAAAATGTCACCGCATATTTTTTTTTATTTTTTTTATATATATATAAATTATATATATATATATAGGAACCTCAGGGGGGGAAACCGGCCTAGCTGGGATGGTATGATTTCATATTTAGGATGGACAAGTGTGCATACTATATATATATATATATATGTATATATGTAGGTATATATATATATATATATTTATTTATTTATATATATATATATATATATATATATGAAATTATACTATCCCAGAAGGAACCGATAAGTCCGGGGGGGGGGGTAGAGTCTATTCTCTTTTTAGAAAGGAGAATCTACATGGTGCAATCTTTCGGTGCACTCAATGTCAAATGTGGCGCAATCTATGTTGTGCAATCAATCACTTGCTCAACTTGAAGCTGTCCTCTCCACTGCTCGCGCAAACATCCCACCCTCCCACCCGCAACTTGGTTTGCAAAACCTCTTAAGACCGACTACGACGACACCGACGACAACGACGACGACGACACCGACGACGTCTCCGACTTCGACGACGATAACGACGCCGATGCCGACGCCGACGAAGACGACGACGCCAACGAAGGCGACGACGAGGGAGGAGGAAGGACGACGACGGCGACAACGACGACAACGACGACAACGACGAGGGAGGAGGGAGGACGGCGACGACGCGAACGACGACGAAGAAGGAAGGACGGCGACGCCGACGACGACAACGACGAGGGAGGGGGGAAGACGACGATGACAACGACGACGACGACGGTGACGAAATAGAACCGACGAGGAGACGCCGACGACGGAAGACGACGACGACGTGGGAGGAGGAGGACGGACGACCACGGCGACAACGACGACGGAAACGACCACGACGCCAAAGAGGACGACGACGACGAACACGAGAAAAGACAGAGGACGACGTAGGCGACGACGACGACGACGACGCGGGAGGAGGGAGGACGCGACGACGACGACGACGACGACGCAAGAGCGCGCGCGCACGCTTTTGTTGAAAATCCGTGTTGCGAAACCTTGTGTTTTTGTAGGTTTTTTGGACGCACGATTTTGAAATCCTTCCGAAACCGATGGGTTTTGAAGGTTTTCGGCATACGCCCGCGACGACGCGCGCGTCTGCACTCCGTCCCATTTTTTGCAAAGGACTCTCGCGACGGCACACGCGCAAGGGCGTTCGACAGATTTCGACATGCGCGCGCGCGAAGCCCGTTTGGTAGCATTTTGTGAACATCTTGAAAAACCTATGGTGTTCTTAAGATTTCGCAAGAGCTCGCGCGGAAGCTTTTTTAGCAAAGCAGTGTTGCGGAACCCTGTGTTTTTGTATGTTTTTTGGGAACTCGATTGCGAAATCCTTCCGGCACCGAAGGTTTTTGAAGGATTTCGGCATGCGCGCGCGACGACACGCGCGTGTGCACTTCGTCATATCTTTTGCAAGGGATTTGCGAAACAGTGTTATGTTAGAACAACAGATGTCACCGCGTGGTGTTTTTTTTACAAGGGAACCTCAGGGGGGGGAACCTGGCCTAGCTGGGATGGTATGATTTCATATTTAGGATGGACGAATGTGCAGAATCATATATGATTTACACACCCGAAAAGGGAACGGATAAGTCCGGTGCACTTGAAGTCGTCATCTCCACTGCTCGCGCAAACATCCCACCCACCCACCCGCAACTTGGTTTGCAAAACCTGTTAAGCCCGACTACGACGACACCGACGACAACGACTAGGACGACACCGACGACGTCTCCGACGACTTCGACGACGGCAACGACGCCGACGCCGACGACGACGAAGACGACGACGACGACGCCAACGAAGGCGACGACGAGGGAGGAGGAAGGACGACGACGGCGACAACGACGACAACGACGACAACGACGAGGGAGGAGGGAGGACGGCGACGACGCGAACGACGACGAAGAAGGAAGGACGGCGACGCCGACGACGACAACGACGAGGGAGGAGGGAAGACGACGACAACGACGACGACGACGGCGACGAAATAGGAGGGACGACGACGAGATGCCGACGACGGATGACGACGACGTGGGAGGAGGAGGAAGGACGACCACGGCGACAACGACGACGGAAACGACCACGACGCCAAAGAGGACGACGACGACGAACACGAGAAAAGACAGAGGACGACGTAGGCGACGACGTAGGCGACGACGACGCGGGAGGAGGGAAGACGGCGACGACGACGACGACGACGCAAGAGCGCGCGCGCACGCTTTTGTTGAAAATCCGTGTTGCGAAACCTTGTGTTTTTGTAGGTTTTTTGGACGCACGATTTTGAAATCCTTCCGAAACCGATGGGTTTTGAAGGTTTTCGGCATACGCCCGCGACGACGCGCGAGTCTGCACTCCGTCCCATTTTTTGCAAAGGATTCTCGCGACGGCACACGCGCAAGGGCGTTCGACAGATTTCGACATGCGCGCGCGCGAAGCCTGTTTGGTAGCATTTTGTGAACATCTTGAAAAACCTATGGTTTTCTTAAGATTTCGCAAGAGCTCGCGCGGAAGCTTTTTTAGCACATCAGTGTTGCGAAACCCTGTGTTTTTGTATGTTTTTTGGAAACTCGATTGCGAAATCCTTCCGGCACCGAGGGTTTTTGAAGGATTTCGGCATGCGCGCGCGACGACACGCGCGTGCGCACTTCGTCCCATTTTGTGCAAGGGATTCGCGAAAAAGTGCTATGTTACAACAAAAAATGTCACCGCATAGTGTGTTTTACAAGGGAACCTCAGGGGGGGGAACCCGGCCTGGCTGGGATGATATGGTTTCATATTTAGGATGGACGAGTGTACAGAATATATATATATATATATATGTGTGTGTATATACATAATTATAGTATCCCAGGGGGGAGCGATACGTCCAGGGGGGGGGTAGAGTCTATTCTCTTTTTAGAAAGGAGAATCTAGGCGGCAACGGGGCGGCGACGGTGAGCACAGCGTCGCCAGACCGACAATCAAGCTCAGACGACGGGCGGCGACGCGGCGACGAGGCGGCGACGGCTAGCACGGAGCCGCCAGACCGACACACAAGCCCCGGAAACGGTCGGCGACGAGGCGGCAGCGGGGCGGCGACGGCGGGCATGGAGCCGCCAGACCGACACACAGGCCCAGTTCTTTGGACCAGAAATCAAAATTCCTCAGTGCAAACACAGTTTTGGGAAAAACTGTCAAGCTGATATGTCACGACGTCAGACCAGAGTCAAGCCAAAAACCCTTAACCGCCAGTCTCAACTTGATTCAGATCGGCAGAAATTTCGGCCAGCTCCAAGAACTGGAGGAAAATACAAATTACATAATCATGTCGCCGCGCCGTCTGTTCCCGACGCGCCCAAGTGGACGACGCCGACACCATGGCAGACTCACGGCAAGCCCTGCGCCCCGCGCCCAAGGTAGACGACGCCGACACCGCGGCAAACCCCATACGGCAAACTCGCTGCGCCCGAGGCGGCGCTTGCCCTGGTGTCCGCGGCACCCTCCCCAAGACGCAAGGCCGCGCGTTGAAACAGACGGCGCGGCGACACATATTGAGCAGGGACCGACCGTCCCGGCATTCCTGTAGGCCTACCACGAATTTTTCTTAGAGCCCCAAAATGATCCGAGAGCAGAAACAAAGTTCTGAGAACATGAACCCGATGTGTGAAAACAAGACCGTCCCAGCCAGAAATGTTCTGACAGCATATCGTGAAAACCACAGAAAGGCTCATAGAACATTGTTTGGTGCACGTCGTTCAGTTCTAATCGTGCTCATTTCTAATCCTGCTCGTTGCTAATTCTTCCTGCCCCCCTAGTGGCCAGGAAGCGGCTCAGGACAGAACAATTAGAAATGAAAAGATCTTGGCCCCCCCAAAAATCTGGAGCCGTTGAAGAATTTGACACGAGCAGTGTGTAGGCCGATAGGCACGCCAGGACGCCCGAGGTCCTCACCCGTGTCCTGGGCCGGCGCTGGACCCTCCCCTCCCGGGCGCGTCTGGCGCCGCCCCCACCGCCAGCCCCCCGCGCGCCCAGGCTGGGGGCGGGGGCCCGGCGCCGACATCTCGGCGGCGGACAGGCCTCCCTTTCGTACACCTCCCCTTCGTGAAAACGGCCTGGGACCGAAATCGACGGACCTGGACCCGCAAGAATGACGGCCGCGACGCCCTCTCGCGAACCGACAGCGACCAATTCCGGAATCGACGCGTCAGGGTGGAAAGTCTATCAACCTCCGAATGTCCAAGAGACCCGCAAAGGCCCTTGCAGAGCTTACGCTTGCTCCCCAGGGGCTCGACGACTCTTCGCCAATCGACCTTGTGAGGATCGAGCCAGGTAGATCCAGGCAGAGGCAGATCAATCGAGGCGAGTCCAAGCAAATCGTGGCAGATCCAAGTGAATCCAGGTATCTCCAGGAAGATCTGGAGCAGATCGTGGCCGATCCAGCGCGAGTCGAGGGACGGCATCAGTCGTTAAACCCTTGACGACTTGCAATAAGTTCGTGCAAGGTCGGCGCGCGCGAAGGTTTTTGACACTGCACCGATCGTTCAACCTTGAATTGATCGCGGCCCCGATCGTTCAAATTGAATTCTGTCGGGTCCAATGGCTTTACCGTGTCCCTCGGTGGTTCCGCGTCGCAGAATTTAACCTTGAACGTCTTCGCTGGCGTCGCCGGCGCGTCAACGCCGCACGAACCTACCGTAAGCCCTCAACGACTTATGCGGCTATTATTTTTCTTCCTCGAAGAGCGCGCCGAAACGTCTAACCTCGAGCCTCGATCCTCAAACCTCTGACCTCGAGCCTGGATCCTCGAAACCTCAAGACCTCGATCCTGGAAGAGTGCGCCCGAAACCTGTAACCCCGAGCCTCGATCCTCGAACCTCTGACCGCGAGCCTCGAAACCCCTGTTTTTTTTGTTTTTGTTTGTGTGTGTTTTCCCACAGAGTCGTGTTTTTTTCCACAGTGTGTTTTTTGTTCCCACAGTGTGTGTGTGTGTTTTCCCACCGTGTTTTTTCCCACAGTGTTTTTTCCCACGTGTTTTTTCCCACAGTGTGTTTTTCCCCACAGTGTTTTTTCCCACAGGCCGCGGGCCTCGGAGCACGCGCCGAAACCTCGGACCGCGAGCCGCGAGCCTCGAGCCACGAGCGGGCGGCCGCCGGGGGGGACGGCGGGCCCGCGGTGGCTCCCGTGGGCGACCCACGGAGGCCTGGCCTCCGGGGTCAGGAGGAGGAGGAGGAGGAGGGAGGGAGGAGGAGGAGGAGGAGGGAGGAGGAGGAGGAGGGAGGAGGGAGGAGGAAAGAGGAGGAGGAGGAGGAGGAGAGGAGGAGGAGGAGGAGGAGGAGGAGAGGAGGAGGAGGAGGAGGAGGAGGAGGAGGAGGAGGAGGGAGGAGGAGGAGGGATGAGGAGGAGGCGGGGGAGGGAGGCGTAGGAGGGAGGAGGAGGGAGGAGGAGGAGGAGGAGGCGGAGGAGGAGGAGGAGGAGGGATGAGGAGGAGGGAGGACGAGGTTTCCATGACCAGTTCGTCCACGCAGATCAACCACAAAACGACACAACTCTAGGTCCCAAACTCGCTGTGCTGCAAGCCTCAACCTGATGGAATAAGTGAACTGACGTTAAAGATCAGTGGCATTTAAAGGTTGCCAGAGCTCCCATTTTTCTTACACCTCCTAAGTTATCTGGCAAATTCGCACAAGGAGCCAAGCCATAAATCTCTGACCTCGAGTCTCGAATCACGACCGATCGATCGGGCGTTGCTTTATAGAGGGGGACCAGCGGGGGGTATCGAAAGGCACACCTTTCGTACACTTTCGGGGCCCCAGGAGGCTCCTTTAGGGCCCTTGTCCTGCAACCCTCCACTTTCCCCATTGATCGCCCCCCCCCCATTGCGAAACGCCCGAGTGGAGGACTGTGGAGGCTTCCGGAAGCCTAGATAGGCCAGAGCATCCCGAAACACCGTCTACTGTCTGGAACTTTTGCGCAGCGTGTCGCCGCGGCGGCCCCGGCGACACGGTATGCCCTGCAAGTGTAGCGTGTCGCTTCGCTCCGCGGGGCGGGAGGCTCAGGAAGGCTCGGGACGTTGACGCTTTGGGACTGGGATGTGGACAACGTCGCGCGCCGAAGCGTGGTGGGCCAGAAACCGGCGCCGCGACAAGCTATCCAAACGTTTCCGATCGTAACCTCGAGCCTCGAACCACAGTCGATCCGCGGGGGATGGCGGCGGGGTCCCCGCGGGGGCCTCCTCGAGCGCTGCCTCGCGCCGCCGGCGCTCCTCCTGGGACAGCGGCCTGGGCGCGGATACACCACAGGAGGATCGATGAGAACCCCGAGGAGGGTCGAAATGACCGAGGATGATCGAGGAGGATCCAGGAGGACCGCGGGGGAGCGAGGAAGATCGGGTACCGACGGTTTTCGCAAAAACATGATCCAGGGGCAGTTCCATGGGAAGGGGTCGAGAGTTTGGGGGCCCCGTATAGAAAAATCGGTTGACGTCGTTGGAGGATGAGCAGGGGGGGAAGGAGAACGTGGGTGGACTACGCTGTGCGTAGATCACCCGCGGCACAACGGGTGTATCCCAGATGAGAAGGGAGGGGAAGCGAGAGAACGATACGCCGCAGCGGAGGGGGCCTGCACAATTATAGAAAAACGCCCCCATTTGTATCAGCTCTACGGTAATAGGATGAGGATGAAGGAGGAGGGTTAATGATAAGGGGCCAGGGGATCTGCGCCGTGGCCAGAGGATTCCGATGTCCAAGGATCTGCTTTGAGCTCCTCGGATTCCGATGCCAGTGCGTCCGACTCGCAGTGGGTTGAAAGGTCAGTTTGAGGGGTCCAGACCCCTCAAACGGTTCACTGGGGCAAGAGGATCTGCGCCGTGGCCACGCGATTCTGATGCCAAGGATCCATACACGCACACACACACACGCACACGCACACAGACACACACACACACACGGGCACACGCACATGCACGCACACACACACGCAAACGCACGCACACGCACAAAGCACGCACACACACACGCACACACGCAAACACGCACGCACACACACACACGCACACACATGCACACACACATGCACGCACACACATACACGCACACACACAAGCACGCACGCACGCACACATATACACACACACACGCACGCACGCACACGCGCACGCACGCACACGCACGCACGCATGCACGCACGCACTCACGCACCATCGCACGCACGCACCCACACACCCACGCACCCACGCACCGAAGCACCCACACACCCACACACCCACACCCATACACAGACACGCACGCACGCAAACACACACAACACACAGCACACACTCAACACACAACACACACACACACGCACACGCACACACAACACACCCACACACCAACCACACACACCCACCACCCACATCACACGTACGCACGCACGCACGCACGCAAACACACACACACACATGCACGCACGCACGCACACGCACACGCACACAAGCACACACACGTACATTCACGCACACACGCGCACACAGACACACGCACCCACACAAACACAAACACAAACACAAACACGAACACAAACACAAACCCAAACACACGCATACACACAAACACAAACACAAACGCACACAGAAACAGCAACAGAGACATGAACATGAACACGCACACGCATAAGCACACGCACACGCACAAGCACACGCACACGCATAAGTACAGGACACAGCCAAAACCCGAGCACAAGCACACGCACAAACACAATCACGCGCACAAGCATAAACACACGCACACGCACAAGCACAAGCACACGCGCACGCACAAGCACACGCACAAACACAAGCACATGCACAAACACGTGCACAAGCACACGCACATTCACAAGCACAAGCGCGCGCACAAGCGCACGCACAAGCACAAGCACAAGCACACGCACAAGCACAAGCACATGCGCAAGCACACGCACAAGCACAAGCACAAGCACAAACACACACAAACACAAGCACAAGCACGAGCACGAGCGCAAGCACACGACCACGCGCAAGCACAAGCACAAGCACAAGCACAATCACATGCACACACAAACACAAACACAACCACACACACCACACACACCACACACACCACACACACCACACACACACGCACGCACGCACGCACGCACGCAAGCACCCACACACCCACGCACTCACACACCCACACCCTCACACAGACACGCACGCACGCACACACACAACATACACACGCAACATACACACAACACACACACACGCCACACACGTGCACACACACACACCTACACAGACCCACACACCCACCACACACACCCACCAAACACACACACACGCACGCACGCACGCACAAACAGAAACACACACACACACGCCCGCACGAATGCACGCACACGCACACGCACACACGCACACACGCACGCACGCACACACAAACACAAGCACAAACACGCACACGATCACACATACAAACACACACAAACTCAAGCACTAACGCAAACGCAGACAGAAACAGCAACGTAACCATAATCATAAACATCAACATAACCAGAACCATACACATAAACACAAACACAGACACAAGCACACGCACAAGCACAAACACACGCACAAGCACACGCACAAGCACAAGCAAGCGCACAAACACACGTACAAGCACACGCACGCGCAGGCGTAGGCGCACGCGCACAAGCATAAACACAAACACAAGCACAAGTACATGCACATGAGCATGCAAATGCACAAACACACGCACAAGCACTAGCACAAGCACAAGCACACGCACAAGCACAAGCGCAAGCACAATCACACGCACAAGCACAAGCACAGACACACGCGCAAGCAAAAACACAGGCACGAGCACAAACGCAAGCACAAGCACAAACACACACAAACCACACACAAACACCACATTCACACAAACACGCAGAAACACACACACACACACCACACACAGACACACACAGACACACACACACAGACACACACACACACGCACACACACACACGCACGCACGCACAAGCACGCACGCACACACACACACCCACACCCACACCCATTCCACCACCCACACGCACACGCACACGCACACGCACGCACGCGTACATGCACACGCGCACGCACGCACGCACGCACACACGCACACACATAGACACACAGACACACACATACAGAGCACGCACGCACGCACGCACACGCACACGCACGCATACGCACGCCGCTCCTGGCAAGGCCCAGCCAGGGCCCCGGACCGATGTATACCCCCCCAGCATGGCTTGGCCAGGATGGCACAGTCTGGATGGCACACGAACCGCCCCGCCCCCCCCCCCGGGGGGGGGGGATGGGCGCGTGCTGTCGGGGGTGGGGGGACGGCAGCTATGAAACTCAAATTCCTGGGGGGGTGGGGAAGCTTCGTCGGAAGGTCAGTCGCCCCCCTCCCCCGATGATTGTGCTATCTGGCGTGTGCAATGTCCTTGGCCCAGGATGGGCCTGGCCAATGGAAATGGATATGTGCATTTCTCGTCGCCCGGTTCCGCCGATGGCGGGACGTGCCGAAGGCGAGACCTATTCTGGAGCAGCGCCAGGAGAGCAGCGGACAGGCGCGGCCTGCGCGATTAAACATGATTTCTTGGAAGTACGCGTGGATTTTTTGGATCGGCGCTGGACCCGTCTGACAGTACCTCGTAGAGATCTTCGGCATCGATGAGCTAGAGGAATTCCGGCGCGGGGTGGAGCTAGTTGGCCCACCCGGCCCGGGCGGACAATGTGGGAACTTTGGGTCGGTTGGACGAACATTGTGAGAGATTTGACCATTTGTTTTGAGAATCCAAATTTTGACTCCCTGCAGTCGATCATGGCGCGTTTCATGGTGAAAGTCTCAGGGCTGTAGCTACAGCACAGCTCTCGAAAATTAGGGGGAACCGTCAGCCATCGGGATGCATTTTCCAGATGAAAATGGTTTCGTGAACTTAACTCAAGCAGGAAACAAGCTACACAGCTCCAGTATTTTTTGTACTTGTAGTAGATTATAGTGCGTCGGCCTGTCAAATTCTCAGGTCCTTAGCTGTAGTATTCCTACCCAAACACTTGGCGGAACCAACTTCGTATAACACCGAAAAAGAACATGTTTCGAGCTTTTGAGCTGATATTCGAGGAAGCTTTCTCGTCGGATTTTGAATATTACTTCGCGTGTCAAGAGCTCTACGAGGGTCCCGGCGGTAATCTGGTTGACGTTTTACCGCCGGCTCCCAGTTTAGTTTCTCGCACTTGTTCTCTGGTGGCGCTCCGTTTCGTGAGTGGCGTTGGGCTCCCTTAGCGGCTCCGCCAGGGGAGCCCGACGCCGATCCAAGAGATCCCCGCGGACCTCCGAGAAACTATGTTCGTGCAATTTTTTCCGAACGCTTCCACCAACTGTCGGGCGCGAATTAATGTTAGGTCGGGCGTGTCCCCCTACAGGGGGGTCTAGGCCGAAAAATAAAACATATTCAAAAAATACCACTCTAATGCTCAAAAATAGTCAAAACATCCTCCCCGGATTATCTTTTGACTATTTTTGAATATCCCCCCTGTAGAGGGACAGGCCCGACTTACAATTAATGGGGGGCGATAGCTGGAGGGCGGAAGAAGGGTGCCCTTCTCGGGCCCGCAGGCCTCCTTTGGGGCTGCCCAAGTTTAGCGCAGCAGCAGCCCCGTCGGTGTTTGATCGCGACTCGGATCCGTGCCCCTGTGATAGGCTACAGTCAACCCGCAGAGGAAGGATGCGCGATAAGGATGCAAGGCCCTTGGACGCCCATCTCGAAGCGTTTCGAGCGGGGCGCGGCCAACGAAAGTGTCCAAGGATGGACCCAGGAAGCAAGGATGCAAGGGTACCCTTGGGAGGGATGCCTATCCTTACTCTGCGGGTCGACTGAATAACCCTGTTTAGGGGGCAGAAAAGCCACCCTCGTAATAAGCACCCCGACGAGCGACGCCTTTGGCAACCGCGCCGGGGGAGGGGATCGAACAGAGCAGGGCTGTTCAGTAAACGCCCAATGCTGATTAGTAAACGCCGATTGTGGGGGTCGGAATGTTTTTGTTCCTCCTTAACTGTTAGTGCCTGACCGTGACAGAAGAATCATGTTTATGCAAGGTCGTGCGTGGCGACAGCAACACTGAACACCGATCGAATCGACAGCGAAACCGAGACCGACCGAAATCGTCAGGCCGCAAGCAGCCAAATCAAGGCGCAACGACGCGGCAACTACAAAATGACAGACCTAACGGGGCCGACCGAACGCAACCGACGGCAACGCAGCCAAACTGACCGAAACGCGAACACCATGGTTTTATCTCATGTCTCGCTTTTTTGAGGGGCGACGATAGGGGGGACTGGCATAGGGGGATGCATCGACCTGGAATCGGCGATACATCGCCGATAGATCGGTGATAGGCCCCCGATGGTGCATCTGCACCTTCCTGTGCATGGTGGGGCTATCGGGCCCCCTATCGGCGATCAATGGGCGATTCGGGATCGATGCATCTCCCCCTATGCCTACAGTGCGAGCGCGACCGCAAGAAACCCCCGCAAGAAACCGAACCCTGATAACCCGCGTCGCGAGGTGCACCGGAGGGTAAACCCGGAGCACCCTGAACGCAGCAGCTCCTTCCGTGGCCGCGGGAGGTCGCCGCGCAGCGCGCGGAGCGAGTGAACCCAGGATACCCTGACGAAAAGCACATGGTTTCTTGATGCGCGCCCCCACCGTATCCCCCCCTATCGTTAAGTAGTCGGGCGTGTCCCCCTACAGGGGGACTTTCGACGAAAAATAAAAAAATACTCAAACCATAGTCCCAAATGGAAGAAGTACGCAAAACATAGCCCCCAGGCTATTTTTGGACTGTTTTTGGATATCCCTCCTGTAGAGCGCCCCCAGAGGCCAGGGGCCCGGTGGCGCTGGCAGCGGGAGCGGCGGGCCTGAGCGCGGCCCGAGCGCGGCGTGCGCGCCCCCTCTCGGAGGCCTCCGCCGGGGGCTCTCCGCGGGGGCGCCCCGCGGGGCCTGCGGAGGCCCAGAGGGACGGGCCGACGGCGTCCTGAAGCTGTGGCCTTCTCGAGCCTCGAGCGTCGTCGTCGGTCGGCCGGCCCGTCGGCCGCGCGCGCACGCGCACGCGCGCGCGGGGGAGGGGCGCGCCGCGGCGTCTGCTTGCGGGGGCTCGGGGCGCCGACGCCCTGCAATGCGGCCTGCCGCCCGCGGCGCGGCGCCGCCCGCGCACGCACGGCGGCGGACGGCAGCAGCTGGCGGCCAAAGGCTGCCGGCAGCTGGCAGCGGCGGCGGCAACTACCGCAAACGGCAAGCAGCAACTGGCATCTGCTGCTGGCGGTGGCGGCTGGCAGACTGCAGCAGCTGGGGGGTGGGGGGGCGGAGTGGCTGCAGCAGGGCCTGGTGGGAGGGGGGATGGGAGCAATGAGTTTTTGCTTTGGGTTCGGCAGGTTTCCAGGGACAGGGATGGGGAGTCCGAGGCGGCGGGGGAGGAAGAGAAAGAGGAGGAGGATGACCAGTGTAAATCCAAAACCCATCAACGATCTTGAAGTACAACCTCCCTCCAATATCCTTCTTCATAAGCGCCTACAAAGGGTCATTTCCAATGTCGGAATTGCCCCGTTGGGGGGCAACCGTGTGAACATCTTGAAGCGTGCCGAAACACCATTCTCAGGACTTCAACGCCACGAATTAACCTGACTGCTACGTCTTGGCGATCCTGAGTCGTGCCAGAAGACCATTCCTTGGACTTCATCACCGCAAATCAACGTAACTGTTGCGCCATGTCAGCCCTGAGTCGCTCGAAAACGCCATTTCTGGTACGTTAGCTATGAGAACCAATGAATCTCTTGCAACTGTTTAAAACGAACGCGAAAACGAGCCACCCTCAATCAGTGAAGCTGTTGCAACTGTTTCGAATACGCGCGGCGCAAAAGCGAGAACCACATTTCGAAAATCAATCGCCCTCAATCCGTGAAGCTTTTGCAACTGTTTAAAACAAATGTGCGCGGCGCTAAAGCGAGAACCACATCTTGAACACCAGCCGCCTACAATCCGTGAGGCTCTCGCACATCAAACAAAAAAAAAACGAATGCGCGCGGCGCTAAGGCGAGAGCCACATTTTGAAAACGAGCCGCCCTCAATGCGTGAAGCTCTTACAACATTTAAGAGCGAATGTTCGCGGCGCTAAAGCGGGAACCACATTTTGAAAACACAAGCCGCCCTCAATCCGTGAAGCTCTTCCAAACTTTCAAAAACGAATGTGTGCGGCGCTAAGGCGAGATCCACATCATGAAAGCGAGCCGCCCTCAATATGTGAAGCATTGACACGTATTTAAAATAAACATGCGCGGCGCTAGGGCGATAACAACATGTCGAAAACCACCCACCCTCCATCTGTGAATCTGTTACAACGTGTCAAACGAAACGCCCGGCCCGCCCTTTAGACCGGCCTCGGGGTGCGACAGGGAGAGGTACTCTATAAGGAGAATCATGGAGGAAGAGGAGGGAAAGGAGGAATATGAGGAGGAGGAGATGGAGGAGGAGGAGGAGGAGGAGGAGGAGGAGGAGGAGGAGGAGGAGGAGGAGGAGGAGGAGGAGGAGGAGGAGGAGGAGGAGGAGGAGGAGGAGGAGGGGAGGAGGAGGAGGAGGAGGAGGAGGGAGGAGGAGGAGGAGGAGGAGGAGGAGGAGGAGGAGGAGGAGGAGGAGGAGGAGGAGGAGGAGAGAGGAGGAGGAGGGAAGAGGAGGAGGAGGCGGAGGAGGAGGAGGAGGGAGGAGGAAGAGGAAGGAGGAGGAGGAGGAGGAGGAGGAGGAGGAGGAGGGGGAGGAGGAGGAGGAGGAGAAGGAAGGAAGGAGGAGGCGGAGGAGGAGGCGGAGGAGGAGATGGAGGAGGAGGCGGAGAAGGAGGCGGAGGAGGAGGAGGAGGAGGAGGAGGAAGGAGGAGGAGGGAGGAGGAGGAGGAGGAGGGGAGGAGGAGGAGAGGAGGAGGAGGAGGAGGAGGAGGAGGAGGCCAGGCAGCGATGAAAGAAGTGTCAGGGTCACTGACACCCCCCAGCAGGAGCGTGAGAAGCCAGGCAGGGGGCATTGGCCACCCTTGCCCAGCTCTTATGTGCCGAGGCTCGGCCACCATCTCAGCGGGAAGGTTGGCTGAGAGTGGCGAGGCGCAGCACACGCATCAATCGAGCGACAAGGGCACGCCCGATCGGGGATGCAGGCCCCTGAGGACCCTAGAAATGTTGCTCTCCTCGTTGGCCCGCGTTGAGGCCACGGGAGAGTGGCCTTTACAGGCCTTCGCCGTGAGTTTCGGATTCCGACCACCATTAATCGAAAAGGCCCCGCAGGCTAAACAGATAACGGCGGGGCCGAATCGTTCGGCGGGATGTCCGAGAGAAGTGCACACCTCCACCACCCCATCAGCAGCAGCAGCGGCAGGCAGCATCCCTCCTTCCTCCTCATGTAGCGGGCCTCCTGCGGCCTCGACCGCCACCTGCACCGACGGCGTCGAATCAGACACGTAGTGCTGGGGGGTCAGACGGAAGAAGCGCTCCGCAGTTGCCCGCTGAAGGGCCGAGGGAGCACAAGCCGAGTTACGCAAAAAACGATAGGACAGGGAGGTGCGAGCAAAACGATTGCACAACATACACCTGTATTCAGAGATAGCTGCACAGAACATCATCGTGTGAGATGTGACAGCAAGCGAGGGCGCGGGGGGGGGCCTTGCGGGGCGCAGGGGCGTCGGCTGCTGGCTGCAGCTGCTCCGCCTTCCTCGCGGCCGCCTGGACCATCCAGGCAAAGGCCTCACCGTCCTTACGCGCGACCTGCAATCTGGATTTGTGCACATCAACGAGAACCTGCGCAACAGCATGGGACTGCGAGCCCAATTTGGCAAAATAATCGGCCCATTCATTTCCGACGAAATCAAACACTTCGGCCGCCCCTAGGGGCAGCACGTCGTCCAGGGAACGATGGGCGCCCGTCCAGCGAAAGGTGGGAGGCTCCGACTGTCCGACAACGTGCCTAATCTGCCTCCAGATAGACGCCTGACGAGAAGCACCTGATTCGCACAAAGAAGAGGGCTGCCGACCTGCCTTCACCAAACTGAGATGATCAGACACAATCTCTGCTGGGTGCGCTGCAATCTGGATGGCTCGAAGGGCAGCATAATGTTCCGCCCTAGGGACGGTCTGAAGCCTACCTGGAAGCGGGCCATAGATCGCTCTGACTACACAGCCAGACTCATCTAATTGGACCGCGGCCCAGCCGCAGCGCGTCAGGCCTTCCATCGAATTCGCCAGGCCTGACCCGTCCGTGTACACCCTCGGCCCCCAAGCTCCCCGCCAGTCACCCCACCCCATCGTCGGAAGCGAGTCGGCGACTGGCTCTGGAAAGGGCGGCAAGGGCGGCAGCCCATAATTTAAAAAGAAAGCCTCCTTGCCATTGTCTGTCTGGTAGCTCTTGACCAAGCTGGCACGGTGCTCCAAAACGTCGTCGGGCAAAGCTTCTTCAGGCCTACACTCAAGCATGCCATCGCAACCCCACCACTGGTGGGCCTCGGTGCCGACCTGCTCTTTGCACACAAAACACAACGGCGTCGGGCGCAAATTAATCGAATGGAGGCGCTCAGGAGTCCAGACCCCTGCAGCCCACAAGGACCGCAGCGCCCCACGACGGCCCCCATCACGGAGAGCAAGCACTGATTTCCGAAGCGCACGACGCCAAACAGTGTGCCCCTGGTTGTCGGGGAAATGGGCCAGGACCCTCGCAACCTGCCATCTTCGAATTCCCTGCTCCAGAAAAATGCGCACGTCCTGAGGACATACACGGAGCAGGTCGATGGGCCAGCCCTCGTCGCTCACTAAGGTGGTGGGTCCTGACATTGACCACCCTATCCGAAGGAGCGTATACCATACCGAAGAAATCGGACCCCTGGCAAACTTCCACGCTGGATTGTGCTGAATTCTGTCTTTGATCGCGAGCCAAGCTCGAGCAAGACGTGAAGGAACGACCCTGGCTTCCCAGACACAAGTAGCAAACCTCACAACAAGCGGAACCGAAGCATCGAACACAGGGTCGAACCTATCGTCCTTTTGCGTGCATAGATAGGTAGTGAGGCAGGACTTGGGCTTAACTCCTACCATCCCTCCCGCAAACGTACGCAGCTCGCGGAGAGAAACATCGGACACACCGCTAACGCCACCTCCGTGGCTGGCTGCTGGGAGGAGCCCCGTTCGCCAAAGGGCCTTGACGGCCTCAGGTTGAGCCTGACGGAGCCCCCAGACTTTACGCCTCTTGGACTGCAAGACTCGAAGTCGGGCCTTCTCTTGGACCCGCAGAACCTTGACTCCGTGCATCTCGTGCCCTAGATTACGCATGCCGTGCTTGCTGCGAAAACCTAGCTGCGAAATGTGCCGTGCGAATGTGTCACGGGCGGCACAAGTGTTGGCCACAAACCCACTCTTATTCGCCTGCACACGCAATCCGAGGGGGGCAATATCATGGCAGAAAGACTGAACCGCCTGCGCAAGCACATGTGAGCTCTCTCCTGGATCTTTGCCTTGGCGGCGTTTGCCCACCCAGTTAAAACTCACGTCATCCATCAGGTCCCTGGGTTCCACAGATGGGAATCGCTCCACCGACAGGTTCAAACTTCTATATAGAAGCACCGTGAGCAGAGTGGTGGCTAGAGAACACCCAGCTAAGATCCCTTGGGCCGTGGAAACCGAGTACGACAAACTACCGAAGGCTCTAAGGGCTCTAGGCTGGGTGTAGTTCTGGATGGCCATCCAGGCCAGACGGAGCGGGAACCCTGTGGCCTTGGCCTCCCTCAAGAGGGCCTGGAGGTCTACACATTCATAACATTTCACCATGTCTATGAAAACAGTAACACAATCCTCTCGCAATTCATGCGCAATCTCCGAAGCTAAATTTAAAGAGAAGGCGCTGTCACTGGACGATCGCCCTGGACCTGTCCCCCACACCGTGGGATGCGCGTGGTCACGCTCCCAGGCGACCGCTGTTGGACGGCGAACACGTCCCCAAATCCGAGTGAGGGTGTGCATTAGGGCGATCAGCCTGCAGCCGCCTGTGGACTTCGGAATACGCACAAGCTGAGTAAGTATGCGAGACGACGGCCAAATCAGAAGCTTTTCACATCGCATGAACAAGCGCGCCAGCGACTCCAGGCCGGCGTCCGAAACGAACCA